ATCGACGAGAGTCTGTAAGAAGAAGAACGCAGCTGACCGCTACCGTTGCTTGAAATTTTAGGAAAGTTCCATCATTCCCAACAGGACCAGTGAAACACGGTGGCCTTCTCCAAAACCCTGTCCCGCTCTGGGATCCCGCATCCCGCGGGAAGGGGCCGCTCGCGGCCGTTCCCCCCCGGGCCGGCAGACGGCGCAGGGCAGGAGCCCGCAGGGACGGGCAGGGGAGGACCCGCCGGGGCTGCGGGCACGGGGGGACCCGCCGGGCCGGGCCGGGCCTGCGGCGGGGCCATGGGCGAGCAGTGGCCCTTGGGCCGAGCCCTGGCCGTGGCCGCGCTGTCCCGGCTGCTGCGGGGCGCGGGTCGGGCCTGCGCCGCCCCGTTCCTGCCGCTGTTCCTGCGGCTGCTGGGGCTGCCGGCCCCGCTCGTGGGCGCCGTGGCCGGGGCGCGGGGCCTGGCGGCGGCTCTGGGGGCTGCTCCCCTGGGCTGCCCGAGGGGCCGCGGGAAGCGGCGGCTGCTGCTGGTGGGCTCGCTGGTGGGCTCGGCGGGGGCCAGCCTGGGGCTCACCCTCATCCCGCCCGCCCGCGGGGCCGCGGGGGCCGCGGGCTGTAACCACAGCGGGCACGGGGTGCTGGCCGCGGTGCCCTCCGCGGAGCCCAGCCTGGTGCCCTCCGCAGTGCCCATCGTGGTGCCAACCATGTCCCGGGACAAGCCCCGGGACGGAGCGCTGACCGCCAGCGCCGTGGCAAATGCGAGAGCCGTGTCAAAGGAAACGGTGAGAACAACTGCTGGTGGTGTGTTGGCAGCGAGCAGGATGCCAGCACCGAGCGGTTCAGCCTTCCAAGGGTTATTTGGCACGAGGGTTACGCTTAAGGAAAACAGCGGAGGGGTTGGTGAAGGTGGTACAAAGGCACGTGGCCACTCGGATGGACCACCTGGCTGGAGAACTGATGTGGAAGATATTAATCGGGAGACTCAAGAAGCAGAAAAGCTGGCTTCCTACAGACCTTCCTTCCCTGGACTCAAGGAGGAAATGAACAGTGTGGGTTCTACTGCAGCTGATCTTGCTGAGGAAAGCCTTTCTGCTACTGCAAGTAATGAGCCTTCTTTGATTAAAACAACTCTTTCCACTGTTGCAGTTGAGTACATGTCTGAAAACCTCTCAGACAGTCAAGATGTCAACTTTGAGGCAGCACAAAGCATCTTGCAGGACAGAGAGCATCAGATTTTTCTCCTGGTCCTGGGTGCTGTCGTGCTTTGGGAGCTGTTGGGCACTTCTCTGGAAAGGGCGGTGGATGAGGGTGTCTATGAATACCTGGACTTTGTGGATGCCACTGACAGGTACGGCAGGCTGTGGATGTGGAGTTCCCTGGGCGCGGCTGCCGGTGCCTGCGGGGTTGCTGTCCTGGTGGATCAGCTGAATTGCTTCCTCAGCGGTTCCATCTCCCGCCTCGCTGTCCACTTCTACGGCTACGCCGTGCTGGTGACGCTCTCGCTGCTCGTCAGTGCCTTTTTTCCCAGGCACAGTGCCCACATTCCCAGGAAAACCGACCGTGGTTTTCCCAAAGCCCTGGCGCTGCTGTGGAGCGACGGCCGGGCGCTGCTGTGCGCTGGCACCGTGTTCCTCGCCGGCGCCGCCAGCTCTGCCGGGCACAACTTCCTCTTCTGGCAGATGCAGGACCAAGGCAGCAGCGAGCTCCTCATGGGGCTCTCCGTGTCCGTGGGG